ATCTAAGGCGACTCTCTCTAATCTTATTTTCTACTGGAGCTACTCCAACCTTTTTCACGTATATGCTCATTTCGTATCCTTTCTCTGAGGGTAAAGCCACTCATCCACCTGAGCATCCTCATCTCTGCCACACTTAACTTAGTATTATGCTTCTCTTTTAATGGCCAACATTCGGCACCATAAAGCATTGCAGGCCTCACTACCATCTTATAGAATTTTCCCTTAAGTTTGAGGGGTACATTTCTATCACATAACAAGCCCGATGCATTCTTCCACTTCAACCATCCAACTTGAAAGTCATTGTTGTTCGACAAGTTTTACGCTGGTTGTCGACTAACTAACGCAATCCTCCATTTTTCTCATCCAGTACTTGGGACATGGCAATGGCAGTGTTAATTATATTTAGTATTATTTATTAGTTATATTATTATTATTATTATTTTATTTGATTTTATTCTTTTTTTTTGAAAGGTGTGTGGGAATGAATGTTGGTTTACAAGGTTTTTAGAACTAGATTATATATTGAACTAGTTCATGGTTTAAAGGATCAACTAGGGGTTGAACCGTGTGATGTAAATATTATTAAAATGATTTAATTAATTTAATATTTCTAATAATGTTTATAAGCAAGTGATAACATGTATATGCATAATATATATCACAAAATATAAACATATACATGAAATAAATCCAAAAAAAAAAAATTACATTCCAACACAATCCCTCCATTACAATTTCTGCTCAAATCATTTTTACCACTCTTGATTTAAGGGTTGAGAATTTCAATTGTCAATTTTTTCGGGCTGATCCCTATTCCTTATAAATTTGGTTTTTAATCGAACCAAACTGGTTTTAGGAGTGGTTGATGCTTTGAATGGTTCAATCATCCTGTTTGATATGGTTTTTACAACCATGTGCATGTGTGCACATTTTAGTGTACTTGTGTGCGTGCGAATTTTCTCGTTTTTTTCATGTGTGGCTTTCACCCTGTCTTGTCCTCCAAACAAAAGGGAGGGTTATGTTCCAAGTGATGACCTAATGGCATATAATCATGTATTCTTTTGGGATTTTGGATAGGGTCTGTTTGATTGAACCGTGGCTTGCTCTAACCCTGACTCTGTGACACATGCATTGAGTTCAACGAGTATTAAAAAATTTTCATTGGCTGAGTTCAAGGAATATATGATTTTTCCAGGGATTTAATCTTCTGAAGAAGTTTGTTTTTTAGCAGTTGTGTTTGCTGACATTCAACATTGAAGCAGAAGTGTTTGTAAACCATGACTCTGAATCTAAAATCTCAGGCATGGAATGAGTTAAAATCAACAATAAAAAAGTGAGCTCCTTCCATATTTCAGCCATCTTTAGATTCTCAATAAAATGTTCTTCATTTCTTAACAAAAGGGTCCTATAGTTCTATCCTGCAGTAGGCTTATTTCACTTACTATATAATTTTTTGCTTTTGCAAGTGTTATGATCTTTCTAACTAAAGTTCATGTTCTTAGGGCTTTAATGTTTTCAAAAGGCACGGTTATCCAGAAATCTTTCCTTGTCCCTATATTTGCTTTGCAAGCCCCTCCTGCCGTGATTTCATGGATTAAGTAAGCTTGTCATTAAGTGACACTAATGCCGAGTCATGTATAAGAACATTTAACGTTAATTCATTACAAATATGATGTTAAGTGGATCTAAGGAAATTTTTTATATGACGCTTCTTGAATTGATATATTTGCTTTCTTTGGCTAACTCATTGGGTGCAGGGGTAGGTATGGCACTTGGGCAGCTTTTATAGTACTCTTGGTTCGTCTATTTTATTTCATCCCAGGCATGTTACTATTTTATCCACTTTTTCTTGAATTTGAGCTGCACCAAAAAGCATTAACTCTTAGTAATTAAATTACATTTACCCGTCTCTTGCTATGGTAAATTATGCAAAATTTAGTTCAGCATAGTTTGACTTTTTTGTACTTCTCAGTGAAGTTTGATGACTCGGAGATATTGACTTGTAGGTGAACTGGAATTGCCCTTCTTAACATTGTTGCTTGTGATTTCTGCACCTTATGAAGCGATAGACCTTCGGTAAGCTGCTGTTTCTTATCAATTCTTTATTATTTGAAAGGCTGGCAATGAGTTGATTTCAAGTGAGCCCGCCTCCAATTGAGTTTGATGTTTTCGAGCTATGTCAAAAATCAAATGAGCCAGACTAAATTTCATTGATCAAAGCATACCTTTTAACCAACATGAAATGCATTCCAAATACTATGGAGGCACGAAAATACACAATGCTGTGTTTCATCATGATTAAGAATGATGTGTTTGAAGTAAACAAACGAGAGAAGAACAACAAAATCATAAAGACACAAAACTTACATGATTTGGCTTCAACCACATCCTAGAAAGAGGAGAATGGGCCTATTCCACTACTAAAAAAGCCGCAATTGTTGTGTCCAAAATGAAGAAACACTCACTAGGCCCTTCTTAAAAGCCCAGTTCACCCAACTTCTAAAAAAAAGAAGAATCGCAAAAATAAACCTAACAAATAAATAGAAATTGATTAGATTCAGGAGACAAACTGAGCTTGCAATCTTCCTGGAAACTGAGAGCTTCTGATTTTTAGTTGCAGCTGAACTCTATACCTAACTGAGAGATTACTACCCTTAACGAAATCATCCAATAACATCAAGTCTTTATCCCACTATGTGGGGTCGGCTACATGAATCCTTTTTCTCCATTGTGTCCTATTAAAAGTCAAATTCTCGTTTAAATCTAATAAAGAAAGGTCATTCCTAATATTTTCTAACCAAGTCTTTTTAGGTCTACCCCTACCTTTCTTAACATAAGTCAAATCTAATACTTCTACTCTCCTAACAGGGTCATCGCAAGGCCGCCATTTCATTTGACCAAACCATCTAAGGCGACTCTCTCTAATTTTATCTTCTACTGGAGCTACTCCAACCTTTTCACGTATATGCTCATTTCGTATCCTATCTCTAAGGGTAAAGCCACTCATCCACCTGAGCATTCTCATCTCTGCCACACTTAACTTAGTATTATGCTTCTCTTTTAATGGCCAACATTCGGCACCATAAAGCATTGCAGGCCTCACTACCATCTTATAGAATTTTCCCTTAAGTTTGAGGGGTACATTTCTATCACATAACAAGCCCGATGCATTCCTCCACTTCAACCATCCAACTTGAATTCTGCTGATAATATCCCCCATCTATTTCACCATCACTCTGAACAATAGATCCAAGATATATAAAACGTGTACTCTATTAATGACTTGATGGCTCAAAGTCACAATCCCCTCACTAGGTCTATTATTTCTAAAATTACACTCCATATATTCCGTTTTAAATCTACTCAAGCGAAAACCTTTAGACTCTAAGGTTGACCTCCATAATTCATGTTTACCTTCAACTCCCTCTCTAGTTTTATCAACAAGAAGAATATCATCAGCAAAAAGCATACACCAAGGTACATCCTCTTGCAAATGTCTAGTGAGAACATCCATGACTAAAGCAAAAAATATGGGCTTAAGGCCGATCCTTGATGTAAACCAACCAAAATATGGAAATACTTGGTCAAACCACCTTGTGTTTGAACACAAGTAATAACTCTTGCATACATATCTTTAATAATTTGAATATAAGCGTTTTTAACTCGTTTCTTTTCAAGAACTCTCCATAGCACTTCTCTTGGAACTTTGTCATATGCTTTTTCTAAATCAATAAATATCATGTGTAGATCTTCCTTATTTTCTCTATATTTCTCCATCAAATCTCTTAATAAATGTATGACTTCCATAGTCGACCTACCCAGCATGAATCCAAATTGATTTTGAGAAACATTAGTATCACGCCGCAACCTATGCTCCATAACTCGCGCTCCCATAGTTTTAAAGTATGACACATTAACTTAATTCCTCTATAATTCGCACAATTTTGTACATCACCTTTATACTTAAAAATAGGAATTAACACACTTATTTTCCACTTATCTAACATTTTTTTAGTCTTCAAAACAACATTAAAAAATTTAGTTAGCCAAGAAATTCCTTCATCTCCTAAGCATTCCCACACCTCTATTGGAATATCATCAGGTCCAATAGCTTTTCCACCCTTCATTTTCTTTAAAGTCTTTCTAACTTCGGTTATACTAATACGTCGATAAAAATATAAATCTTTATTTTTATTTAGGATATTAAGGTCACTACAGTCAATTTTATTTTCACAATCTTCATTAAAAAGTTTTGCAAAACATCTCATCCATCTTTGTTGAATATCATTTTCTAAGAAAAGTTTTTTTTATCTTTATCCTTAATACACTTCACTTGAACTAAATCCTTACTGCTCCTATCTTTTTGTTTGACTAACTTATACATATATCTCTCCCTTCTTAGTATCTAATATATTATATAAATCACTAAAAGCTAAGTTCTTTGCATTACATAAGACTTTCTTAGATTCTTTACGAGCCTCCTTATATATTTTCCAATTATTAGAGTTTTTACAATTAAATCAATTTATATAACAAATCTTCTTATTTTTAATCTTTTCTTGCACATTTGGATTCCACCACCAACTATTTTTACTATTAGGAGCTTTTCTCTTTAATACTTAAGCATATTTTTTGCAATATTCTTAATATAACTTATCACTTTTTCCCACATAACATTAGCATCCTCATGCACAGACAAAATCTTAAGATATAAAATCTTACTCTTAAAAATTTTTTTGTTAATATTCTTTAAATGCTCCCATCTAATCCTAGCATATTGTTTTACTTTATTTTTTATTTTTCCCTCTTTATCGTAAAGTCAAAAACTAATAATTGATGTCGGGTAGATAAATTTTTACTCTGAATAATTTTACAATCTTTGCAATCTAAACGATTTAATTTTCTTCTAAGAAAATAGTCAATCTGAGTTGTACTATATCCATTTTTATAAGTGATGAGATGCTCATTCCTTTTTTTAAATAAGATATTAGCAATTAAAAAATTATAAGTTAAACAAAAATTTAATGTGCTCTTGCCACCTTCATTTGTCGTTGCAAACCCATGACCACCATAAATGCTTTTAAAAGCATTTACCTCTCTATCAACATGTGCATTTAAATTTTCTCTAATAAAAACTTTCTTCAAGAGGTATATTTTGTATTAAATCTTCTAAGTCATTCCAAAAATTTAATTTTGAACTCATATCCAACCTTACTTGAGGAGCATAAGTACTTATAATATTAACAATCTTTAAAGCTATAATTATATCTCCAATCATGTTAATTTTTATAACGTTATTCTTCAAACTCTTATTTATAATAACACCTACATCATTTCTCGTACGACTTCTACCTGAATACTAAAGTTTAAATTCTGAACTATCTATCTCCCTATGTTGCACCGATACGGATACGGCGATACGGATACGACACGATACGGATACGGGACACGCCAATTCTTAAAATACAGGATACGGATACGGCGCGGATACGACATTATAATATATAAATAATACACCGTGCAACATAGCTATCTCCTTAGCCTTCTCTCCAACCAATTTAGTTTTCTGAATGCACATAATATTTAACTTTATATGAATCATAATATCTATTAATTTCATTAATTTTCTTGTAAGGGAACATATATTTCAAGTTCCTATCCTAAATTTAGTTTCATGGACTAGCTTCTCTGCCCATATTCGTTCTTGATGTGGGAACCCTTGCCTATTTAACACCGCACCCGGGCGTCGGTGCAGCGGCCCTTGCACACTAGTCACTATATTCAGGCCACACAGCGCGTTACTTTCAGGGAACGCCCTAGCATTAACACAATTTCTTAAAAATCAATGACAAGTGTGATGAGGCAGGGGAGAAAAGGAAAAAAAACCAAAAAAAGGTATATAAATTTTTTTTGGTATAACTTATTAATCTTAAAGTATTATTCTTCTTTATATTGATTAAAAATATTTAGTGAAGAGGAAGATAATTAATATAGAGGAGGAAAAAGTAGATTGAGAGGCACTAAACTCCACAGGTGATGAGGTAGGGGAGAAAGCAGTTTATTATAACGATGATTCAAATGAAGACCCCCCTTAGTGATGACAGTGCTGATGGCCTCTGATTTGCTATGCCATTAGGCCCATTACTATTTCTTTTTTAAATTAAATGTTAATGAACAAGATATTGGGAAATATAGAATTTTGAGGTGATGCCATTAGACCCCCTCAGTGCTGACAGTGCTGATGACCTTTGATTTGCTATGCCATTAGGCCCGTTACTATTTCTTTTTTAAATTAAATGTTTATGAACAAGATATTGAGAAAGATAGAATTTTTTGAGTTAGACCTATATTTTATATTATTTTATTATTGTGATGTTTGAGTTTCAATTCAATTTTACACAGTTTATTACTTATCATTTTTTATTTTGTGCATTTTTTTGTTTCATATATATGACAATTTATTTCTTATGTTCACATTTAATATATTATTTGATTATTATATACAAAATACTCATTTTAAATTTATGTAATTTTCTAATTTTGAGGTTTACGTCTCAAAATGCCTTGACTCACAAACGAAAAACACCTCAAAACCCAATTGCGCAATTTTAAACATTGACCGGGAATATTTCATTTCAAGATGACTTACAAATATGTAAGAGAGAAGAGTAGAATGACCCAGTGAGTGCTAACTCGCATTTAAAGTGCTACTCCCAGGGTGCAAATGCCACTGGGATCTTCTAATTTGGTTGTTAGAGAAGAAGCAACCATATCACACATGAGCACTGACATTGATGAAACATATAACTCGGACAATGAAGATAGGACACCCACATCTCTTTGAGAGGATAGATGAATAGAGAAATGAAAACTACATCTGACCAGTGCATTTTCTAGGCAGATTATGGAGGCAAAGCCTCCTACAAAATTCAAGATTCCACATCTTTATTCATATGAGGGAAAGCTGATCCCACATATCATGTTGCCTAATTCGAGTTGTGGGTGTCATTACTTGATATTAAAGATTCTTTGAAATGCAGGCTGTTCTTTACCACCTTCAAGGAATAATAATTGAGGTGAATCTCGAGGTTGCCGGTGGTGTCAATTAACTCGTTCAA